GATTAATCTCATTTGTTTTTATCAAATAATCATGTAATTTAAATTATAAATTATTTATAATTTAAATTACTTTTATTAATGATTTTTAAATATTTTGTAATAGGATACCCCCATTTACTAATATTAAAAATAAAACTCACTTAAATGGTTTTGATTCAAAAATATCAATGATTTATTAATTATCGCTATAAATATAAACTGAGATTATATTGTCCAAAACTTTAATAAAATGTATATATTAAATATTATTTGTTAAGTAAATTTTTATTTATTTGTCAAATTTATTTTAAAATAACAATTATAAATAGCTTTATATGCATATGTACATTATAATATAATATACGGTATATTACTTATATTTAACATAATAAAATATAAAGTATATATATATAGTATATATTATATAATTAATTATGTTTACTATTTTTAATATAATACATTATCACAAATAAATTGTACCGGATTATATATTTATTTGTTAAAATGAATTCTAAATAAAAAATTACAATTTAACAAATAAATGTCATTTATTAAACTTCAAAAGTTAATGAATTACTTGTAAATTCTAGATATATGTCATTAAAGTTATTGTATATCAACTGGAATACTGTTATTATTATATTTATATATTTGAATTATTCCTATCAGTTATAAGGTTTATTTTGGGTACATTTTAGGTAATTAATTTTATTTTAGTTATATTGTTTATTAAATGTAATTTAATATAAATGATAGGTTAAATATTAAATTAATAACGAATAAAACTATTGTATTATAAATGTAATTTTTTAATAAATCTATCATTTCCATACTTAATGATTATTAGAGTGAACTTATTTTTATTAATAAATAACAGTATGTTTCAATAGTAAAATTAATAATATATAAAACAGAATTATTAATTTTTTAAATAAAAGTCAAGTTTTATAATAAATAAAATTAATTATTTTTGCTTTTATAGTTAGACAATGTTTTAAATTCATTAATAGTTAATATGACTTTTTATATAATAAAATGTCAGTTTAATAAAAATAATAAAATCAATAATATTTAATTATATAAGAAAAAGTTCTTGTATAAAAAATAAAAAAATATTTATTTGATTAAATAAATATTGTTATTTTGTTAGAATTTTTTTTAATGAATAAATTCTACAAAATTATTGTATATTTTATTAAGTTGTTTTTATTTAACAATATTAAATACATTAAATATGTTTACATATTAATTATTAAAGTAGATAAATTTATTACTTTACTATTTTTTTTAAATTGAAATTAAAAACTAAGAACTACTATTTTTAAAAACAAATGATTAATTTCAATGAAACTTATTTAAAAATTGCAACAAATCAAGTAATATAATCTTACTTTAATTTAATATATTCAATAAAATTATATTTATTTATATATTTAATTTTAAATAACCTAGCTAAAACCGTTTGCCCATTATGTTAATAAATATACGTTAAACGGTTTAGATGGGAAATTATTACAAACTTTAAGCAGTTTACTAAATATATCATATGAATTGATTGATTGTCATTATAAATGGGGCTCAAAAAGTCATAATAATACATGGAATGGCATTATTGGTAAATTAGTAGATCAGGTAAATACAGATATTAAATAATTATTTTGTATTTAAAAATAAATAACATAATATTTTAATTATAATTTTTTTAGCAAGCTCAAATTGGTATTGGTGTATTAACTATAACCTACGAGCGCTCTCAAGTGGTCAGCTATACCTATCCATATTATGTGTCTCCGCTAACATTTACGGCACCGGTATTCAGCACACGACAGTCAATATCAACATTTTATCAGCCATTTGATAGCTATATATGGATATTATTAGCATTATCTATAATAATGTTGTTTTCAATTACCGCAATAATTAACAATTTATACAAAATAATTTTTTATCTAAACAACTTAATAGCCGTTATATTGAATCAACCAATCAAATTAGCAAACAATACCCCATTGCCAGTGATGTTTATTTTGATAACCTGGATCCTATCGTGCATAATATTGCGTATATCATATTCTACACTCATGGCAGCCCTGATGACTGTCCCATTAGAGGCCAGTCCTATTGAAACAGTATATGATTTACTTGATTGGCATCAATTGGGCAAAATTAAATTGTTATTTAAACAAGGTTCCGGTTTGTTAAAACCATTTTTAAATATTATGGTAAATATTAAAGTATACATAATATAACAAATATAAATATATAATATTAATAATTAACTAAATATACCTAGATAAAATTATATTTTATAAATATAATAATTTTTAGTTGAATTAGTTTCATTTACTTATTATAAATATTTAGAAAGAGCATTATCCAAATAAACATAATATTAGCCAGGTGCTTTATTATACTATCGATAACGTTGAAGCATTTAAACTACTAAAATCTGACCATGGTCAATTTGTTTATATTACACAACGCGATGTACTCGACTATGAAATACGTAAATCTGGTGTAAATTATTTATTACCCCCACTTAGTGCTGATTCAAACTTTTTTAATAATTTGATTGGTATTGCCTTTAATAATAAGTATAAACAATATATTAAACATTTTGATAAAATGTAAGTAATAGACATTGCAAATGTCACATTGGTATCAATATTTAAATATAAATCTTTAAAAAAAAACTATACTATATTTTATAAGTTGATATGATATTTCTATCTAAAATAAATCAATAACATAATAATATAGAAATAATTAGTGAACAATTTATAACATATAATATTATAATAGTCATTAATTCAATTTAATATAATACTATTAATGTTAATAAGATTATAATATTTTTTTTGTTTAATTTAATTTATAGTATATTCAGAATAAACAGTGCTGGTTTAATTAGTTATTGGAAAAATGAATTCTACATTAAGCATGGTAAATTTGTTAAAATTGATAGCTACGAACATATTACTATATTTGAACAACAATTTAGTCCATTGAATCTTGATGAATTAGAATATACTTATTATATTTGTATTCTAGGTGCATGTTTGGCATCTATTATATGTGTCCTAGAACATTTATATAAATCTCAATATTATCGATTTAGATAATAATAATACATACAACTAAATTGTTAATATTATTATAAAAATTAATAATGTATTGTATTGTATTGAAGCAACATTTTTTGTTTGTTTCACTCATAATGTATTTATAAAAAAAAATAATATAACAAAACTAATGCATTAAAATACCTGCATTTTATTATTAAAAACAGACATTTTAAATATAGTAGACATAATTATTTTGGTATGAATACTGGTATATATAAATAATACACTGTTATAAGCACTTTATACAGTATTAATACTGCAATTAATAATTTTCAATCGATATTTTGTTGTATTTTTAAAAAGACAATAACTCTAAATAATCAATAAAATTTATATATTATCAAATGTAATAATAATAATTGACACAATTTTTAAATTTTAACTTTATTTTATTAAAATATATATTTTTTTATATGTATATACTGATTGAGGAGCTAGATTATATTTTACATGTTTTTATTAAATTAAATTTGATGACATTATTTTTATTATCGTTAGAAAATATATTGGTATTTTAGTTACCTTGATAATTTTTTTAATAGATAATTACACAGTAATTATTAAATTTTAAATTAATTTAATGATTGATCGAGACAATGATAATAATAAACTCATAGAAAATAATGTAAACTTACAATAAATTACAAATATATAATAATATTATATAATTGGATAAAGTGTTTGGTGTAAAATAGTTGACAAAAAAATAACATTGATAGTATTATGATTATTGTATAAAGAAAATGTGTAAATTAAATTAATGAAAAGTAATTATAAAAAATAAAATTATTGACAAAAAATATGACTATTTTTTCATTCATCCATTCAATCAATCAATTAGTTAATCAATATATTAATAGACAAACAAAACAATAAACTTAATATGTATGTGTGTGTATATATATATATTATGTATATACTGTATAATAATAATAATATGTTTATGATAATTTTAAAAATACAATACATTTGATTTTGTACTCAACAATAATTTTTTATATATATATATATATACAGTATATGAAAACAAACATATTATTATTATTAATATACAAAAAAAAAATTAAAAGTAAACATTTTTTATCATCAAATAATATACATAATTATATCAATTTATATCTCAATAATATTATCATTGATTTGATTTCATTGTAATTTTGTTTCTCGACAATTATAATATAAGTAAAATGTTTTTACTGTATAATAATCATAATAATATTATTAACATATATATGATATATAACACATCATCAATTTGGTGTCGACACACACACATACATATATACATTAATACAGACATACACACACGTATACACAGAAACTTAGGTATGTCCTCATCCGTCGTCATCTTCAATGTCTAAACCAAATAAACAATATCTATGTCCACTATAAACATCATGCGATCAGATTGTGTTCAGTTTTCTTATGATAGTATAGATTGAAGAATGTCTTAAAACTTTTATTACAATTCAATTCGTGGCACGTATTCAGTGACTTGTCGTCCATAGAGGACTTGTTGTTGGATGAGGTGGTGGACGAGGATGAGGACGGGTGGCAGTGGTCGGACATAACGTGCCGTTTGAGGTCATAGATACTGTCGTACGACTTGTGACAGTACTTGTAGTAGCATTTGAACCGTTTTTCGTCACCAACTTTACACAAAACACTAGTGTCCGGGCTATTCATGTTTTGATTACCCAAACAATTAATTACCGATTTATGATTATTATTTTTATTACTATTATTATAAATAATATGATTATTATTACTAATATTGTTACTAATAATAATATTATTATTACTATTATTACTAGCAGTGCTGACATTAAAAACATTAATACTATTAGCAAATGCTAAACTATTATTAAAACTATTATTATTATTAATTAAGATATTATTATTATTATTGTTATTATTAAGACTAATAATATTAAAATTATTGGCAACAATCACATCATTGCTACAACTGTTACTACTGTCGACAACAATCATATTATTAGTATTATTATTATTATTACTATTGCTGACCACACTATCATTAAAAATATTATTATTATTATTATTATTATTACTATTATTATTGATTTTACTCTTGATTTTGGCCGCTCTCTTGTGATTACCGTTTTTGGCTGTCGTTGTTGTCGTGGCTATTGTTTTGACAGTTGGTTTGATATCCATTTGCATGTGTTGTCGGCGCTTATGCTGTATTAGGTGTGTCTTCTGCGTAAACCGTTTGCCGCAGTCGTCATAATCACAGGTAAACGGTTTAAGACCTAAATGTACGGTATTTTTATGGCGTTTGAGATTCACTTTCTTGTTAAACATTTGGTCACAGTTGTCGTAATCGCATGTATAGAGTGTCTGTTTTAGGTGAACGATATACCTGTGCCTCATATACTCTGTCCGCATCGGGAAAGTCTTGTTGCAGCCGAAGTACTCGCAGGTAAATCGGGCGCCCTTTTTGTTGACACCACTGCCGCCGCCAACAACACCAACACCACTACTACTACTACTACTAACTACTCCTCCGCCGCCACTACTACTGCTGGCGTCACCAACGATGCTATCGGTGCCGCCATTTGTCTTGATAGGTGTGGCCGCAATCGGTGCCGATTTGGCCCCAATGGTGGCCCGTGACTTGTGGGCCGTAATCATTGTGAACATTGATATATTTAATGGTGTTTTTATTGTGTGGTCTTATTGTTTACTATTATATTCATACTGTATGTACAGTATAGCCGTTATTGTGTATTATATACAGTAGACTACACTTACTGTACACTCTATATACAGAGTCTACTGTATTATAATACTATAGTAAATATTGTATAACATGTGATCATTTTATATCAATAACGTCTAATATATAGTGTAACCCTTATATATGTGTTATAATTCAATTGAATGAGCTAGCTAAATAAAAATTAATAATTTTGATTGTTAATAATAATATTTTATTTTTTATATATATAAATTTACTATCAAAATGTGATTTTAATATGTTGTACTAATACAAATGTAGAAAATTTTATTTTAAAAACACCAAATTATTTTAATTTATTTTTAAAAGTTATTTTTATAACTAATGTTTATATTATACTAATACCCTTATCTATAATTCATTGACGTATTTTATACAAATTTTTGTACTAAATTGACAAATCAAACAATAAAATGTATGTTCACAAAAAGTAATGTTCCTATAAAAATAAAGCACATAATCTACCATGTTAATTATTTTATTATTATTTTAATTAATATTACCTGTCTAATTATTTAATGTGCAAATAATCAATTGTATGTTATATAGTATAGGAAAAAAAATCAATTATCTAATAGTTTTTTTAACTTAAAGTTTTGTTATAAAATAAGTTTTTTGTACTAAAAATAAATAACAACGATATTTGTGTTTTTAGGTATAAAATTGAATGCCTTTAACTATTTTTTACTTAGTTTTTTTCAAAAATTAATTAATTAGTTAATATAATGCTATTATATCGTATATCATTTTAAAATTAATAATCATTTAAAACTTATTACTGTATATTATACTGTATTTATAATCTACTTTATATACTGTACTTAATAGAAATTTATATGAATATCTAGTAAATTGCATACAAAAAGTTTTTTAAAAAAAACTTATAGACATATTTATTTATTAATGGGGTTTATTCTGTAAACTGTTATATTAAATATAATATTACAAAATTGCCATTTTAATTATATTATTGATTAAACTATTTTAAATATTGTATGCTAAATTATTTAATTAAAATATAATAAATTTTGCTTATAAAATGAAATTGTTTTTGTTTAATGAAATTGAAGTTTTTATATCTAAATTATATAAATATAACATTTAATTAATATAAAACATAACTATAGTTTATTAGATAAATGTGCCAAATTATATTTTTTTAATTTTTATAATAAAACTATAAAGTTTATAAATAAAATATTATTCTTAATTAAAATTCTATTTGTTCAGAAAAGTTTTTAAAATCAAAATAAATCAAAATAGTTTTGCATTAAATTATTTAAATAATTTTAAATGATGTCATTTCATGGAAAAATGATAATATTAATGTTGAAATATTATATAAATTACTTTAGAATAAGTTATAATAAAAAAATTATATATCATATATATATATTAACACTATAGTAAAATCTTATTTATTGTAAAATTTGAAATAATATAGGCATATATTTTGTGCAATCAAATTGCACACATAATTGTAATAAATATCTTAAAGAAATTTGATATTTTTTCTCTTTCAGTAAACTACTATTATATTTTATTACTGTAGGTTTACAATAATTTTTCAAACATATAAATTAATGAAAAATTTGTTGTTTATATTAAGTAATTTAAATTATGGGTTCAAAAATCACTTTTACCGTAAGTGTTATTCATCCGTATCACTGCTTTCTGTTAAAAATATTATATATAGAAACCTAAATAATATGTAACCGTAATATGTTATTGCAAAACATTAACCAATGGTTTGGCCATTATATTAAATAGTTGTTATTTGACACTTATTTTTAAATGTCTATAACCAGGGAGTGTCTGTGGAGATAGTACTGGAGTAAGAGAGAGAGAGAGAGAGAGAGAGAGATAGAGAGAGAGAGAGAGAAAGAAAGAGAGAGAGAGACAGAGAGACAGAAAGAGAGAGAGAGAGAAGAGAGAGAGAGAGAGAGAGAGAGAGAGTGATAATTAAAAAGATCTGTTAATTTATTGTCTACTAATTTAAACAGTTTTTTAACTATTACTTTATATACAATAAATTACTAGTTTAGGCAATAAAATTAAGCCAACAAAGTTTGTCTTAAATATCTTATACTATATAATAGTGTAAAGTATTGAAACATTACATTCAATAACAGCAACAGTAGACCAAATAAATATCATTTAAATATATTAACTCAACTGAGTTTGAAATTTGTCTTCAGTTTTCTTATTTGTGTTGTCATAGTATTTGTGTTGAAATAAATATAATAATAATAACAGAAATTATATTATTTTTGTATATATTTTTATTTTTAAAAATTATTATTTAAGTAATATTATGGAAAAATTAAATTTGTTAATTTCTAAGTTGAAGAAATTATCTTATTTGCAAAATATAACAAATAATTTGAAAACAATTACTGATAAATTTAATGAATTTAATAAAGTTTTATATAATGAAACTAATGATTGCAATGATGAAAAAAATGTTAACGAAACAGTAAATTGCGAAACAATTAAAAACATCATTAAATCAGTAAAAATTACTGAAAAATATAATGACTTTATTGACATCAATAGACAAAGTAATAATAAAAATAAAAATAATAAAAGTGTTAAACAATTCAAAGTTATTAAATATAAATGTGATGTCAAGGGTTGCCATAAAAGTTTTCAAACGAAACTGAATCTCAAAAGACATCAATCAGTTGATCACAATTCGCCTGAACGACAATTTCGATGCGATTATAAAAAATGTAAAAAAAAGTTTTCCGATATTCATGTATTCAATCGACACCGACTGGACCTGCATTTCCCGAAACTCAGGCCATATAAATGTAATGTCCGACACTGTGGCAAAAGGTTTAGTTATAAAAGTTTACTAAACTATCATAAATGCCAATCGCATGATATCGGCGAAAGACCCTACAAGTGTGATGTCGACGGTTGTCATCAATCGTTTGTACGACGATTCAGGCTAACAGTTCACAAACGGTTCATACATTCGGGACATAAACCGTTCAAATGTGGTGTCAAGGGTTGCGACAAAATGTTTGCCGACATAACACATCTGAATAGACATCAAAGTACTGTTCATTCAATGAACAGACCATTCAAATGTGATGCCAATGATTGTAATAAATCATATAAACTTAAAACACACTTAATTCGACATAAATTAAAACATTTATAAACATTAAAAAATAATTAAATGAAATAGTATTACTAAATGCTTTAAGTATTATATATGTTATATATGTTGAAACTTATATAAAACACTATTAATAAATTTGTAATACAAATAACATTAATTTTTATACAGATATTATTAATTCATAGATTAATACACAATAATTTTTTTACATTAATTATATTGTGTTTATGATTTACAATGTAATTGTTCAGAATATAAAATATAATGAATTTTGTATTATAACAATTTATATCTTTAATTTTTAGTTTATAGTTTATTTTGATAAAAATTTTATAAATATATGTATATTAATCAATACAAACAATGATATATTATATCGATAAGAAAATTTATAATTAAAAAAATGATTTATTATATTATATATATATATATATTACTCAATATAAATGCAACATTTAATTTTAAAATATAATATTGTGCCCACATTTTATGTAAATTTTAATAACATTAGTATATAATCATAATAATTAAAATCTATAATTTAAATACAAATAATTGAGATGCATTAAAGTCCCAGCAAATTATTTTAAATTTGATTAATCAAAAATTTATTTACATTTATAATATTAAATTTATGTTATTATAGTTTCAAAAAAAAATTTTAGCATCAATTGTAATATCATATAAATTTTAACTGAATATTTTAATAACACATTTTGTGTGTAAATTATGTGTTTGTGTTTCTGTGTGTACTTATGTTTAAGTGTATTGTTAAATAAATTGTAAAATCATTTAATAAAATCATTCAAAACGACAATTAAAAAAATACACCACAAATAATATAATATATATATAATTTAGTTGACACTAAAAGAGGCAACATTTCGACGTTGAGTAAAATTACGAATAATATAAGGCATTATAATGGCCAGTGCTATGAGACAGGCGCCCACCATATTGATGACCATAGAGGGGTTCAGGAAGGGGTTCATTGGGTTCATAATGCTCTTGTAGTCGTGTTTCTCCGGTTCCAATGGTGCCGGTCCACTACAATAAGATAAAATTTTTTTAGTAATTTATTTTTTAAAAGAGAGAGAAAAAATACAATTACCTCAATCTATTTAATGCCGTTTGTAATAGTCCAGTGAGACAGCCGGCAATTGCCAACATGTAGATAGTGATGCCCATTGTCTGATGGGTGGGCAGTACAGTGGCCCGGTATCCGGCGGTAGCCCTTTCACAGCACAACAGTACCAGAAACGAGACGAAACCAAACAAAAACTAAATAATAAATAAATAAATTAGTTTTAAACATAAAATATAAGTAAATATATTTTATTTAGTTTTTAAATTTATGTATAAACTTTGATATGATTGATATAATATTAATTGCTATTAACCTGTAGAGCAAAGAGACCAACAGTGGCCAAACCGATCCACGAGTGAATCGAGTAGAAGTGTTGGGTCGGTAGGTCCAGTTGGCCCATATGCTGGGCTTGAATACCAACAATCAAACCAAATGTAATCAATGAGATGGACAACAGGAAAAAGATGGTATGAGTGATCTTATTGTAGATTTTTTTGCAGCACAAAAATGTCTTATAGATGAGCATTGCTATTGAAATGAAATTAAATTAATTATTATTTATTCAAATAAAATAAAAATAAAATAAATAATTTGATAAATTGTTTGGTAAACTTTTTAAAAAAAACTAATTTGATAATTAAATATTTAATAAATATTAATCTATTTGAAATAAACCTGTTTACATTGATATGCAATTTATTAATTAAAAATATATAATTTATTAACTAATAAAAAATATATAAATATTATTGAAATATTCATATATAGAATTTTAAAGCATTTAATAAACTTTTTTATTGATTTAAGCAACAAATTTAATTAATGGTGCATTTAATTTATAATAGATATAAATTTATATAACAGTGCAACGATATCGTTACAAATAAAACTTTGAATTGATATATGGCACACATATTTGGGATTAAGTTATTTCACAAATCAATATATTAATCAATCAGCAACTGATTTATCTATTATATAATACTGTCAAAGTAAATAAATAAATATATATATATATATATATATATAACTAAATTAAATTATTATTTAAATATCACATAATTTTTAATATATTATTCAACTATTGAAATTTTTAAATACTATTATTTTAATAAAATATTATATATAATTTGTCTTTACGATTTTTTAAGAAAATTAATTTTTAAAAATAATAATAAAAATTTAAAATATCATTTAAATATTTAGGCCGCCAAAAAATTGTTGGACATATTGATGGAAAACATTTGCATATTTAATATGACAGAAATGGCCACCAAATTTAAAGTTAAGAACCGTTAGCCATGAATTAGTTTTTCTATCTACCAGTGCTGCTGCTTCATCTCCATCAATGGGACAACCGTTTTCATCAATATTAATATAATTAGTTTGATTTTCAACACAACAATCGCCACAACCACTAATCACTTCCAGTGTCTTCACTAGTTTATACTTTGACAAAAGCGCATCCTTTTCGCCCATCACATACATAGTGGGCACCCGGAGCTCACTCAGTCGTCTATATTGACCCATCAGTTGGTCCTCATAGCCGGATAGTATGGCAAAGAATGAAGCGGTAAAGAACTCGTCTTTTGTACACATTTTTAAGTATTTTTCGTTGAGTCCAAACCAAATCAATACCCGATCGGTAATCATGAAGAGAAATAGCCACCGCCGCCACCGATTGCATACCAATCGACACATACGGAGCCAATGGTTGAACTGTATCGGAGACAGCCATTGAACGCCAGGCGGTGTTATCATAATCAGCGAACCGACAGTGAGTTGGCCGTCAAACTCGCCACAGATCATAGCAGCGGCCACTGGATTGCCACCCGAATGACACACAAGTGAGTCCACATGAGTGATGTCCAATTGATTGAGAAAACTAACTACCAGTTCAACCCTTTCCTCGTTTGAGTGCCAAAAGTATCCTAATTTTCGGCTCAACTTAAAGTCCGGGAGTTTCGGTATTATTAACCGATATTTGTGGCCAAACTCGTGACAAAACTCTTGAAAATCGGTGATATAACCGGGAACTCCATGCAAAAGAACCATAACCGGCTTTTTACGACTACTGTCCTCACTGTCGACAGCACCGGTATCTATGTATCGGACACAGTAGTCGATACCTTTGGCCGGTGCATTGTCCCACAGGTCGGGTATCAGTTGCTGTAGTCTATGGTCCGGTTGTTTTAACTTTTCATAAAGTTTTGCGCCAAATGTAATATTCAATTTATTAAGTTTATAGCCCATACGATCCTCAATGACCTGGCCATTAGGTCTAACTTGATCTGGCCACAGGTGCCGTCTAACAATATAATATATACGGCTAATAGCGCACAACGATAGCAGCAATAAATACATTATTTAAAAAAATTAATACTATTGTCACAAAGTATCACAAAATTTAAAAATATTAATGAAATTGAAATTAATTAATAAAATATAAAATGTCTGACTAGATATATATTGTAGATGTAATTAAATTTAAAATAACAAATAAAATAAAATAACTATTAATATTATAAGTAAAAAATATTCAAATATATTATATTTGACATTACCTGCAAGCAAGGTAGGCAATGTTTGTTAGTTATCATCAATAATAATATAATATAATAAATTGGGTTACTTAGCAATTAAAATATTGCACAGTATATACAACATGTACTCAATAATAATTGTATATCAATTGTATTAGGCATGTTCAGTGCAATAAAATACATATAATAATAATAATAGTATATATAAAAATAATAGAGTACTAATAATTTTCTTATACCTACACTAAAATGTAGGTAAATTGAACCTTGAACATTTATAATAAGATATATATATAAATTATATATTATTGTATTAGTAAATCTTTGACATTAGCTTACTTGATAAATTAATTATTCTAGTATATATATATATATATAATAAATTTATATTATATTATATATATATTTAATGTACTAATAATTATTAATATATAAATTTACTGAACTTACTGTAGTTATTGAAAACCATTAAAAGTTATCATAAAATAATTTTTTCAAGTTTATACTAATTATTATTATTTTGTTTTTGTAAATATAATTATACTAACATTAAGATGTGTTTAAATATTCAAGATATTTATTATAAAACTAATTATTTTATTTATAGATTAATATTTAATATCTAAAAAATATATCTATATATTAAATAGTTTTATATTACCTGTCAAACATGTTTTTAATTTATTTAATCAAATAAACATATTATCTAATTAGTGCATAAAATTATATTTTGAAATATTATTCTTGATATAAATATATTTTTATATTATTTTTTGTTTTTATTTTTGTTTTTCATATTATTTAACATAAATTCAAAAATATATTATTTTTATAAACTTTCTATTAATAATGTTTAATCAATTATGATTTAGCGATAAAACACACTAAATAAAATAAAATATTTTTTTAATTGATAGCATAAATAAAATAATAAATATTTTTTGATTTAATTTAGAGTATCGGTATGCAGTATATTATTGTATTATAAAAATATAAATTATAAATATATATTTATTTTGTTTGTATTGAATATTTTATTAATAGATATTTTACATAATCTATTTAATTATCTATTGTTAAGATAAACATCTAAACTATTAATAAATATTTAAATATATAAGATTATGACAGATGTTGTTGTTATTATATCTAAAATGTTTATTTTAATAAAAATCAGATTTATTTATTTTATCAATACTATATAGTTTAATAAAATAAATTTAGTTAATAACTATTAGCAATCTAATGGATTTTTCAAAATTTATATTTATAATATAAAATAATCATAATAAGAGCAACATATAAAATATATAAATATTTATGTTTAAAATCATTAAGTAAATTAAATTTTTATATTTACAATTACTAATAGTATATAAATATACATATATTGATTTATTAGATAAATGATAAGATATAATATTTTAGATAACCAATTAAAACATTTTAATAATGATGCCTAAAAAATTTTAGTTATTTATTAATAAATAATTATATTGATAAATTATAAAATATTTAGAAAAAATAATTATTTTATAAAATATAATTTAATGATTACAGTTTTCATGCAAATAAAATGCATTACTGTATATCAATTAATTAATTGCACATTAATTTATATTATACTATAAATTATATGATAGACAACGCTAGCTTGTAAAGTCAGTCACCAAACAAAATATCAACAATAAATTTAATAGTATATAAATTATTAAATTATATCAGAGCACAGGTAGTCACCCCACTGTTGACAATAATAAACACATACCCTGTCCATTCATGAATATAAAGCCAGTTAGCATTAGAAATGCGTGCAGATTAAACATTTTTCGGCGATCGTGTTGCCAGGCAAACCCTTTATCAAACTTGAGCATCCAATAAAGTAGCAATAGTACGGCACCCCACATGCCTACCTGTGCAAAACACCACATAAGCCCGAAACAGAAACGGGCAAAACCGGACATTTCCTGTAGTTCGACGTCGCTATCGCTGCCGCTGTTCTGGTGTTTTACGTAATCCTTGGGCCGTACGCTATGGTTGGTGTGATGGGGACCGCCAACAGCTGAAGCAGCCGATTGATGGTGAGCCATGTGCTGGTGATGTTGATCCCGGTGCTGATCGTGTGATCTACGACTGTACACAAAAAAATTAATTCATTATTAACATTATATACTTTATATAATTAAATATAAAATTAAAATTAGATGTTTTAATATTTAAAAAATAATAATTTATAATATTGATATAATATACAAATAATAATACTGTTATGTATTTAGTATATTTTATATTTATAAAAATTTTCATTTATAAAAAAACAATTTTTGTTATTTATTTTAAGTTATACTGTTATGTAATATAAATCTAAAATAATATGACAAATTTTATAAAATATTTTGTATAGAAAATATTAGCAATCTTTTGAAATTTGCATTTAAAATTAAAAACATTTTTAAATAAATACAAACATAAAATAAAATATTAATATTTTAATAGTTTATTTAAATAATTTAAAAATAAATATAATAATTAAAATTAGATAAAATTTAATTTAAGTAAATAATAATTATACAACAATAAGATTATTACCTTTATAATTATTATTAATTGATATAAATTTCTTATCCAATTTATTGAAATAAAGATATAAAGTATGTATATATTAAAAAAATTCCAAATATTAGCAATTTATTAATAATAACATCTTTATTGAGAATATTGCAAAAATATACTGTATTTTAGTAAATTTTTAGAAAATATATTTTATATTTTCTGTTACATAAAATTGAAAAAATATTTTTCTAATACAAGTTTTCAATAACAAAACATTAATTATTTCACAGTTAAAAAAGTTTCACAAAAGATATTTATCACATTCTTGTTAAATATATATATATATATTCATAGAGTGAGAGATGCTATACATACTAACAACAAAAAATCTGATATCAAATCAATTATATTATTATAACATTTTCAGTCAATGTGTTATTTTTGAAAAGCAACACTATTAATAAATTTTGAAATAATTTTAAGTATTATAAATATGATGTATGTCTGTGTATGTGTGTGTGTGTGTGCGCTCAGGGATCTGGTCTTGAATTACCAGTTATCCCATGTTTTTCTTTCTCTTGAAAGATAACGACACCAAAATATAAAAAAAATAAATATATATTTAAAAAATGCTAACTGTTTTTTTTCTCTCTTTCTAGTCTAATGTCAAATATAATTAACATGATATTTGACATTCAAATGGTCATTAAATTAATAGATGCCATTTATTAATATAAATTAAATAAATACATGTAAACCACTTACACACACACACACACACACACACACACAGTTAATAGTTAGATCCTATAGATTGGGTATTATCCCTTAAAATACATTGTATATAATTAATTATACAAAATGTCTGAAATGGTTATAAATAATATTTATTAATACAGTATTTTTTTAGATTTTCTAAAAAACAGTGTTTAATATGATAATGTTATATTATTTATGTATATTTTATTTGGTATGTGTGTGTGTGTCTATGTATAACTTACTAATTAATGAGTAAATAATTAAAGTTAGTTTGATTTTACTAAATAGCATCAGATTTATGTAATATAAAAATATAAATAAAGTATACATTATTTAATCAATCCAATAGTTCAAAATAAAAATTTATGCATATTTGAACAGTAAATTAACTAAATAATTACATAGTTTATTAGCAACTTATACAGTATAAATGAAACATTTTTTTTATATATGCTATTGAATGGATAGTTGTAACATGTATTTTTATTATTATTTGAAATTGCTTATATTAGAAAAAATAAAATAAAATAAATTGTTTTGATATACTGGCGTAACCAACCACTACCTGTAGGGATTGCCCTAATCGACAGATACCTGTAAATTATTGATGAGATTCATACAGTATTTAATAATATGTATAAACATTCAAAAATATTTTCGTATTTTTTTGTGTGTGTTAGGCCATCACCACTGTTGTTGTTAATACTGTATAATAGATTATATGTTTTAGATATATAGTATATACTCAACTCTGGATACTGTAATATATATAATATATCTATCTAACAATTTATAATTGTTTCAATTTTTGGGTTCAGTGTTTTGTTTAATAAAATCACTCAAAGATTTTTTTAATACTATATTTAATATTATGAAAATATTTACTACTAATAGTTAAATGTTATATAAAAATATATGAGTAAAATATATAAATTTTGAAAATACCAAAACAGTTTTTTTTGTCAATTGAATTATTTATTTAAATAATATAAATTATTATTATTTTCAAATATGTGTAAATTTATTTGTATATGATTTTCATTTTAATTATAATTACAATATAAACAGCTTATGCTTATTATAGGTTATCTTAGTTTAACTATTCAATTTAGCCTACAGTATATTTATATTATAATATACACTATATTATAATTTATAAACAATATATTTATGTCAATAAATAGGTTTACATTAACAGAAAAAAAATTTAGATCAATAATATGTGGATTAAAACAAACTGTAATTTAAGTTTTTGTTTTATAATATTTGTTTAGTTTTGACTAAAACTGTCTAATAAGTTATATAAACTATATAAACATCATTGGCTACTATCTATACAAACAAATATTTATATAGTATTTGAATTTGAATTTTAAATTTATTGTAAATCAATTTGAATATCTAATCAACTATACTATCATATTATTTATTTTATTTAGTTTAGCATAATATATGTGGAAATATTATAAATTATATTGTATTATACAATAGTAATTCATTTGAATGCACAGTATTTTTTAATATTAGTGTCATTTTATAAATTCAAATTTTTTTAGCTAAAATAACTTTAGTATTATTTATATGTATAGTGTGTACTGTCTATGACATGTGTTTACACAATCCATCAGTGAAATGGCAATGAACTTCAAAAATAAAATTGTAATTTTGTTTTTACTTATATTACATATAGTTTTATAGTCTATTAATGGTGTTATTATAGCTGTTGTATTTAGGATAGTATAACAATTTATAACATCTAAACTTAAACATAAAATTTTTGATTTATATGTGAGTTAATGAATAATATGTTTAAGTTTTTTTTCTAATGATTTTTTTTAATATTATCCGACAAACTATAACATCAATAAATCATTTGATTGGATAAATATTATTTTTTTTATAAACAAACAAATGTTAATTTTTTTCATTATCATATTTTTAACTATTTTTATAATTTAACAATTAATGGTTAGTAGAATTAATTAATTAATTATTAAAATGTTTATTTATAGTAACAATTAAAATTATTATTTGTATTATAATAATCGGCTTATAGTATTAATATGTATTATATAGCTATATATGAATATTTATTAATTAACTATTTAAGCTGATAATATGATATTAAGATACAGTATATTATTTACTGAATAAATCTATAGATTTAAAATTAATTTATTATATAAATTGTATATTTTAAGTTTAAAATGATTTTTTTTACAATAAGCCACAAAATGTTTTGATACTAAATTATTGATGTGTGAAATATATGGCATAATATAATACAGTAATTTTAATAATAATAATAATACAAAAAATGAATCTTATAAAAACTTGTTTTTTATAATATTGTTTAAAAAATAATTAAAAAAAAAATTTTTTTGGTGAAAATCTAACTTTCAATTTGCTGTTAAACTGACTTATTTTAAAACAACATTTAAAAAATAATGTTACCTAAAATTACATTTTAAAAAAAATCACATTTAAGTAATAATATGCTTTATTATTAACTATTTAACTTTAATTTTAAACTATAAAATTTCTTATTGACTGACTAGTCATTTAGGTTTTATATATATATACAGTATTTAAAACCGGTCAATACATAGTTTATATATAACATTTTTTATATATATTAAAGTACTTTATTTTAATCTTAAATTGTCTTAATTATATAATCAATTATTAGTAATTATGGTCTAACGTTAAAAAATAACAAATCATATATTTTATATGTATTTTTTAATAAAACTTGAAAAATTTTAGCTATAATTTTCAGTGTCATATAGAGATTAACACTATATTATATATATATAATTTATGTTACAATCTTTAATGAAATTAATTTTGGTTATTAAATTAGAAAATAAAAAATATGATATAAATATGTTTATTTATTAGCATTTACTATTAATATGTTTTGAATGTATTTTATGATTTATTATAAATAAATAAATAATATTTTGATTTAATTTGAAAAATTTACTTATATTTTACATTGTTCTATATATAAATTTAATTAATTAAATCATAAAATTTAATTAAAATTCAGTGAATTATTTGTAGATAATTCATAAAGATAATAAATAGAAACAAAAATAAATATAATGATTAATATTGTAACTTAAGTCAAAAATATTTTATTTATTAGTGTATGAATAATATTATAAACATTCAATTAAATAAAATATTTTTGTATTTTATTATTTGTTATTAATTTCTATAGCATTTTAAATAACATGTGATACAAAAATGTTTTTGTTGTTGTTTTGCTTTTAAAAATAATTTCATGTTTAAATCATCATTTAAATGAGAAATCTTATAAATATTATATTGTAATTATCATTAAATTATTTTATTCCTTATATATTTATATTTAGTTTATATTATAGACTAAATAAATATATATATCTAAGAATTTATTAATATAAATATTTTTCATATGAAGGAAATATTTTAATATTTATTTTATGAGTAATACATTAAAATGCAAATATAATGCATAGAGTATACCTCATTTATAACATTAATAAATATTAATTATAATTTAAATCTATTGTTTATGGCTAAGATACCTGTATATACAATATAAAAGTATAGAAATTAAGGTTAAATAGTTTTAGCCGATAGCTTATGTATGTGAAGGACAGTAATGTCCAGCCATATAATTGTGTATTAGTGATAGTTATTTTCTGGTCTAAAAATTGCAAACAAAAAAAATATGTAAATATTTTTATTATTATTATTATTTTGTTAATTTCATTACACATTGTTGTATCAGTGCTATCAATGAAAACACCCGTTAATATTTAAACTTTATT